GTGGGGGGTGGGGGGTGTAAATAAATAAATAAAATCAACAAGCCAAGCCAGATTTCAGCAGCACAGCAGGAACTGTGCAGTCCACAACCCAGAGCTCCACAGGAACAGCAGAAATGAGGAAGCTCACTTTCTGCAGACCTTTGCCTAGAGGTTGAGCTCCCATGCATGTATTACTGATGCCTAACAAGAGTTCAATTCTCACCAGTTGGTCCCTCAGTATGAATGCTAGAAAGGCCTTAACCCTTTTGGCACAAAAAGTTGTTTCACAGAAATAAAAGAAACCACCAAAAACCTTTAATATAATGTTTTTAAAACCTTCACTGCTAACAAATTAGGCTAAAATTGGTTTATCAATTTAAAGATTTTTTTTTCTTTCAGGGATGAAATACACATAAGCTTTACCATGTAAGCAGTATTTCTTAGGGAACCACAATGAAAACGAAGTGGTCTGCATGAGGTATTTGGGCACCTCAACCATAAACCTCAGTGCACCAACACTCTTAATACAGGCACTCATACTCCAAACTTTATAGGAGAACAATTATATTAGTGACCAAATATCAATGACCTTAAATTCTATGAATCCAAGATTATGTTTATTGGCTAATAAATACTTCCAAAGGGGATTAGAAACAAGCTCATGAAACAACTGCCCAGCTGTGAAAGAACACTACACCAAGGTGCAGTCATACAGGAACTAAAAACTAGGACTTCAGTAGATATCTGAATCCCCAGAATATGAATATGACATGTATCCTGCTGTAATCAAAAGCCACAGAGTATTAAGCTTGATTTTCCTCCTGCAACCACATGCAGAAGCATGGACTTGTCAAGATGGGTATGCCTCACAATCTACTTGAACACAAGCGACCCTGATGCACTTCAAGGGTGAGCACAGTAAAGATGTAAGACTTTGAGCCGGGACTGCAGGGTTCTGTGCTCAGATGCACTACACTCCTCCTGGGTGATACAAGCAACTTGCAGAGGTACTGGGTATCACAGTCAGTTCATAAAAAGTGAGTAACATACGTCCTTCCTACCTTTTCTAGATTCTGGCAAGGCCTTATTCATTACTGTTGGCTAAAAGAAAAAAAGACATCAGACATGAGGTTCTGTGCAGAGGCACATTAAGCACATTGCAGGATGAATGATAAATCCAGTTAAATCATCCCTGATTCTT